TTGAAGTATTTTTTTATTTATATTTGTAGAATAAAGAAAAAGCATATCTGGTATATCTTCATTGTGTCATATACAATTGCTTGTCGAATGCTTATCTTGAATTCATTTTTTTTTGCATTATCATAATATTTTTTTTCTTAGAGAACAGAACACGAAGTAAGTTAAGTTAATATCTTTTTTAGTATTTGAAGTTTGTATTAAATTGGTGACATGATATCTGAAACTAATGAAATAAAAATTCCTATTGTATCAATTCAAACATTAACTTATAAAGTATATTCAAGTCGATTTTATGTTCTATTTGTTTTTTCATTCCTTGCTTTCAATCAATGCACAATATGGTTAACATTTTCTCCAATTGCAAGAAATACAGAAAATTATTACAATATAAGTGAAGCAACTGTTGATCTTCTTCTCAATTGGGGACCAATAATTTTTATTCCATGTTTACCATTAACTTCAATTTTATTGAATCAACCTAATGGATTACGATATTGTGTTATTGTACTTGCTGTTGCTGATTTTTTAGCAGCACTTTGTCGTGTTCTTCCATCAGTTATTATAGCATCATCAGCTTCAAATTTCAATACGATTGCATTACCATTTATACATATTGGTCAAATATTAAATGCTGCTTGTGGTCCTTTAGTTATGGCACCTGTTTCACAACTTTCATGTGTTTGGTTTGCACCACATGAACGAACACGTGCAACAACAATTGCTATATTTGCAAATAATTTTGGTGCAACAATTGGTTTTGTTATTAATCCATTTATTGTTACCTTACCTGAACATGTACCTCGTCTTCTCTATGTTCATTTAGGTCTTGCATTTATTGCTTGTGTCCTTGCTCTTGTTTATTTTCCTTCGAAACCACCATCAGAACCTTCAGCTGCTGCTGAATTACTTAGTCTTAATCCAACTAATAATGAAAATAAACATAATTGGCGAACATTTTTAAAAGATATTTGGAAATGTCTTACAACACCTTCATTTCTATTTCTTTCAATAGCAGGTGGTCTTCTTTATGGAACATTTAGTGCATGGACAAGTCTTTATGATGTTATACTTGAACCTGAAAATTATACAGAAGAACAAGCAGGTAAATTTAAGAAAAAAACATTAGTAATAATAATAATAATAATAATAATCATAATCTACATGTTTAAGGTTGGTTTGGTTTTGGTTCATCAATAGCTGGAATTGTTGGTGGTCTTTTTTTAAGTTATCTTGCTGATACAAATCGTTTTCAACATTCATTAAAGACATTTATTCTTATTTCGTTTATTGCTTGTTTATTTAGTATTGTTTGGTTTGAACTTTGTGTTCATAGTTTATTTTATGATAAACATATTCTTTCATCAACAGCTCTTACTATTGGTTTATCAACTGCATTAGCTGGCCTTTTTTCAGGTGCTGCATCACCATTAATATATGAAGCACTTGCTGAAATAATGTATCCACTTCCAGAATCTTTATCAGCATCAATTCTTGTTCAATGGATGAATGTTGTTGCACTTATTTTTCTATTTGTTGCACCAAAGCGAGATAAATTAGTTAATTTTCTTGTATTAGTTGTTATGATTGTTTGTATTATATTGGTAGTGATAACTCGATTTACTTATAAAAGACGTGATGAAGATGAAAGAAAACGTATTGAAAAAGAACAAAATCAAAGTAATGCAAGTCATCTTATCAATGATATAACCAATGAACATTCATATGGAACATTTGATTGATATATTTTTTTGTAATATATATATATAGTTTTTTTAAGTATTAAATAATACAAAATTAAGTAAAATGAGAATATAATAGATGGCAAGAATTCTTTCAGTATTAATTCTACATTAGTAGAGTGTTTTGTTAAAAAGAAATATATGAATAATCGGGATGAAATTCTATTGATTTGTTCATATTTTGATGTAGAATAATTATCATCAAAAAAGATAAGATAGAAGAATACATATATATATCATATTCTTTTGTTTACATTCTATTTTCATTTAGTTTTGTTTTTTGAGATATAAATCTGTAATGTATTATTACTGATGGAAAAGATCCTATTTAAATTGTATTTATTGGATTGATTGACATTTCTGTGCGTGATACGACTGCATTGATCTTTACGAGTAAAATTAATTTTTTTTGTTCTCTTTTTTTTATCATGTTAATAATTCGTTCGAACTTTGTAAATATGAACAATTTCTATGATCTTAATCATCGTTTTTCCTCATGATTATATTCATCTAATAATATGAAACTACACTATTTTTTCTTTTATTCATACTAATAAGCTTTAATATGGAGTTCATAAGGCAAATAAATTACAAAAGAATTTAAAATTTCTCGATTTTTTTTTCCATAGGAAAGATTTATCTTTGATATCTATCCAGATATGTCTTAGGTTAGAAAGTATACAAACTGTACCCAGATATAACCAGACGTATAAGAGTCTAGCAAGTCTTACTTCTTTTGTGCACGTGTGTGTTTCTACTGTCATTCTCACCTTCGAAAAATTAACTTTACACGCACGAAAATCTCATATCACGTTTCATTATTATTATTATTATTATTATTGTGAAATAGTCGTCGACAATTAAATTTATGTTTTCTATTCTTCTTTTATTGTCATCATATCAAATGGAACTACGTAGTAGTAAACCTCTGTAGATATTCGAAAAACTTCATAGATAAGTCGTTGTTAAAAGTTGATTGAAAATTGTTGAATAGATTTTTAAAATCGATAATTTGCGAATGTTTGATGTTTTCTTTAAAATGATGAGGCGCTCGAAAATTGATAATTTGTTTTTCTTTACTTTCTTGTTTCAAGTCAACGTTCAAGATTTATTTAAATTTTTCTTATACTGAAAAAATAGGGGCTATAGCCAGAAATTCATCTATCTGTCTGTTTATAACATAGTTACTATATGGTATCTGTGGTACAGACAATTATATGGCTACAATGGTACAAATAACTGCATAGGATAACAAAAAAAAGGCATTTACACATAAGGATTAATGTCAACCGAGTAGTAGTATCCTATGATGAAGAATAGGAAATCCATATACATATCGTAGTTCTCCGCATCTTATACGGAGAAATACAATCGTTTACAACAAGATACTGAGTAAAACGGAAGACTCATGCGATCATAATATTGAGTCATGAAATATATCAATATATGATCATTTAGGATCGTTTATGAGCATGTTTCTTTGAGTGCCACAATAAAAAAATTTAACAAAATTATTGTAGAAAAACCACTAACATTACACATCTAAACTGAATTTCATAGGCAAGCATAGCATGTTCAAAATCACGTTTTTTTTTATAAATATAAAAACCAAATTTTATACAACGAAAAAAAAAGTCAACTTCGTGGATCGAATAACTGTCATATATCAATTTACCTGTTGTGTCTATCTA